GGGGGGGGTGAGCATATATATATATGTAGTATATATGTAATATACAATACGTGCATACGTACTTACATATCTGCATTTCTACATACATACAGACATACATAAAAGCACATAGGTAAATGGATACATACATGTACATGTATTTGTATATATATATATATGTATATATTCACTCGAGGGTGCATAGGCATGGAATCTCTACAAGCAAAGCAGCTGAGGTCGCCATCCCGAGGCTCGGGCAGAAGCTCAGCAGGCGCGCAGCACGGGGAGCCGCGGTCCGTGTCTTCCGTGCACTGCAGCGGCAGGTGTTGGCTTCTGTGGGGCTCGAGATCATCGGTTGCACTCCCTGCAGCTGGACACATGAAGTCGAGAGATCTCGAAGGCTTTGGTGCAGGTTTGCACGCGAGGGAGGCCACGGATCGAAGGCCTTGTGCGAGACTGGAATCACTCTGATCTGCCTTGCTCAACTCAGGCAAGAGCCCCTACCTGGCGCAGCGGCCGACGGAAATTCTAGAATGGAAGAGAGAGTTCATGAGGAGTGTCGCATGGCAGGGTGGCCAGGGCAGACTTCAAATCGTTGACAAAGTCTCGGAACTGATCGAATTTTCTGTGCCCTCAGTGGGAGCATAGGACGATTGGGAGCATTGCCTGCCAGGACCCATCCTGGCGAGAAGTGGGAGAACTGGGTCGCTCGGTCGCATGAGGATTCAGCCTGGGCAAACTCAGATCGTGCACTGCCCGATGAGATCTCTGAGTCAGTTCTTGGGGATGCAGGTCGTGCCTTCTCCTCGTCGGGAGTCTTTCTGACAAATGTCGGTGTTTGACCTGTCCAGGTGGCCATCGACGACAGGGAACTGTTGACGGAGCAGAACGGGCGTTTTTTGCGCGGCCACTTTGTTCCTCTGTCTGCATGTGAATTGAGGAAGCCAAGACTCTTCTCATTGACATAATGCCGCCTCTTGCCCAGAATCCCCAGTCGATCCAGCAGTTGAGAGCGCAGGTCCAGACCCACCCTTTGCGGGGGCTCACGGTCGAAGCCGCTGATGCAACGGCTGGCCAGTCTTGTGGGCCTCGAAACCGAGATTCAGAGCACTAGAATGCAAGCTTCCTTTCCATGCAGATCGGCGACCATGATGGGCGTGTGAGTTGAAACACCGCCTTTTCTGCTCCGTGTCGGACCGCCAGGCATGCATCGCACTCCTCCGTCAAGAAGTCACCAAGGCTGATGCAGGCCCACGCTAGTGCTTGCCATACGTATGGATGCATGTAGACGCGCATACAAACGTGAACGCAGCACTGACACACACACACACACACACACACACACACAAGCCTCTATGTATTTCTATACCATTCAATATGTTTTCCCTCCTTCTTTGTCTTGAGCAGTTTCCTGCTTTCGTCTTGCATTGATACTACACGAAGCCTCTTTTTGGGTACGCTTGCAACAGCATAGCCGAAGCAAATGTGCTTCCGAAATATGCAAGAAACGGCAACATCAGTGGAGAAGGCAGTATCGGGAAGAGCATCAACTCAACAGAGCGAGGATTGCCGGCATCCACGTGATGTGGCTGAGAAGCCTTGCTACCAGCTTCCACGAAGCAAGACATCCACCCTAAACCCCAAACCCTAAGCCCTAAACCCCAGACCCTAAACCCTAAACCCTATAGCCTAAACCCTAGCCAAGCCCTGCAGGTGCCACGGGTCCTCTTCACCCAGGCGTGCCTCGCAGCGGCTCCTTCGAGGCCAGCATCTTGCAAATAAAAAGGGAGAGAAGCAGATAGAGAACGGATGAGTGGGGAGCTTGCTAGAAGAGTATGGAAGAGTATGAATGTGAGAAGCAGTATATGTGTATCCGGGAACTCCACTTCTTGTGCAAAAGCCTTCGCAGGACACAGGGTGCCATCATGCCCTGCATGCAAGAAAAGCCTTCGACATGATTGAAAGCCTCTAGCGCAGAAGGACTTAAGTGCATGCTGCAGGTTTCTTCTGCGAATCCGACGGGCCGCGCTGCCACCGCGGAGGAGGCTTCAAAGCCGGAGTTGGATGTGCCGATTGTCGGCTAAAAGGTTCCAACAATCGATGCCTCCCATGTACTCGTCGTGTCCCGACAGGACGCACCTGTGCGCCAAAGACCTCAGGCGGCCATGCGGCTAGCGTCAAGGGCAGAGAGAAAGTCTGAGAGGAGGGAGGGAGGCAGGCAACGAGCTGAAGTATAGAAGCCCCTCTGAGACCAGCTCAGGAAGGGAAGGGGATTCTCAGTCGGATTCTCGAGGCTACGCCTGGCCGACCTGCGCCTGCCGCTTCGCACATTTCCGCGGCGCACGCAGCCAGGGCGCTGCGTGTGCACGGAACAGTCACTTGGACCAATACCTTAGGCTAAGGTCGCCTCTCGACTGCGCCCTTGCATGGTGGAAGGTAGTTTGCAAAAGCAAGTGCCTTTGGTGTCTTTGCAGTCAGCCTCTACAAGATGCATAGTTTTGATTGTTGGAAGCAACCTCGGCAAAGGGTGCACAACCCTAAATCCTTCCAAGACTCTGCAAAGCCGAGGCACCTTTGCAGGCACGGCGGCCCAGTGACTCTGTCGCCGTCGCATCGCGAACGGCGCCTGCGCGACGGCCACGCCCCCGCCGCTGGGACCGGAGTGGAGTTAAGGGCGTTTTAGGGTACTTGGATTTCCATGGCTTGAGCGGTTTGAGGTGGGTCTAAGCGAGCGTTTTGGGGGATGGCTTTCCGTGATGGCCCGCAAAGCCATGCTTGCACTTCCAGGCACACCCACGACGTCTGCTCCCCCGAATACTGTAGCTTCTGAGCAGATTATCGAAGCGCCGCTGAGGCTCTGTCGACGCAGGCGTTGTCGATCGAAGATGAGGACCAGCGCAGATCAAGCTGCTTTAACCCTTCTCGGTCTGTGAATCTAAGACTGCAGCCTGAGCATGCTCTCATGGCCCACCTGGTGCCGGAACAAGAGAGCTTCACAAAGCCGGAAAGCCGCACAACGCGTTTCTAAGGCTTGGCAGTACGAAGAGAAGAGTCCATGGGCCCTACTTGATGCTACCCGTGCAAGTTCTCGAGGACGAGTGGTGACATCCCAGCCTTGCTTCTGCGGATCTGAGAAGTGTCTGCGAACTTGAAGCAAGATATTGACTTCTGGCTAGTTTCTGCACTCACGCACGTATGAAATCGCAGCCGACATATCCGACCTTGCGAGGTCGCAGGGTTTTGAGGCTCACTATGCGGAGTTTTCAGCTCAGGACACCCACAATCAGTTGCGGGTGGAAACGGTTCACTCATGGCAGGGAATCAAGCTTCCGAGCAGCGTGCATACATGTACTTTCATTGCAAAGTCACAGTCTCACCCGCACCCCAGGCGTCAGGGTGTGGTGAATGCAATTAGTCAAAGCTTCGTCTGGAAATTCATGGGCAGTAGACTCTCAGAGCGTATTCTCTTCTTTCTGCTGCTATGTCTCGGTGAGGACCTTGGCAGCCTGACGTCTTCCCAGTATCGTGCAAGCCCAAGCCATCCCAAGCCTTTCAGATTCTGCATCCCTGGCATCCATATCGTCCCATGACCAGCCTGACAAGGAGATATAGCACGACGGCTGGGCCTTCGGTGTGCCTGACGAAAATGTCGGTCTGCCGACTCTGCCACGCAAGCGCCACAAAAGAGAGGGTTTCGGGCTGCTCGGTACCCAAGCCGCGTTGGCATGCTGGATCCCGACTGTATGGATAGTTTAAGCTTGTGGTACCACGGTTTGTGACATTTCGTAGAAAAGTAAGTTGTCGATGCATTTCAGTGTATCAGCGTCTACGCCTGCAGCAGGCAACTTCACTGCGAAAGCTCCGTGCTACCACGAACTTCTCGGAATCCCTTCTGAGACCCTATGCTGTGTACTCAAAGAAGCCATTGGTGGACCCTTCACCCCTCGCCTTCGGTGCAGCCCAGCCTCCCTCTCGCGCCAGGGCTGTTTGCCATGCCGGTTTGGGTTCTCAGTTTCAAACGAGGCGCACGCTGCCAACTTGAGAATCGTCTTTGCCGTGCGATTTGAGAGATTCGGTTGGGAGGCTTTCGGATCTGGTTTGGAAGGCTAAGCTTCGGCGGGACGAAGGTTTTGGGCAAACTGGCCGAGTGATGTTCCCAGTCCATGCGAGAGCCCGGGACAGGAGAAGTTCTTCTGCTGCTTGCAGTATCACCACTGAAGCGCTGTCCGCTATCGAGTCGGGCTCAAGCTTCGACCACTTCCTGGGATTTCGGGTTGAGAGCGATGGCTGAGGAAGAGGAAGTCAATCCGAAGGCGAGCGCCAGGGCGACGACGGTTCCAAGGAGAGTTCTCAGACTCTTGAGCTCAGGAATTGCCATTAAATGTCTTGAACTCGCTCCTTTTGCGTCCTTTCGAAGAGGGCCTCTGTTGCCGTCAGAATCAGCTTGCGTCTCCCGGTCATTGATGCACCTGCAGGCCTATCCCTTGGCCAAGGCCGGGATCAGCGTGGTACATGTCAGCTGTTCTGGTCTGCTTGTAAATTGGATTGAAATTCGGCTTCTGCTTGGGGTGGTTTCCTCACGGCGCGCCAATCTGGTTCGCGTCATGGAAATTTTTGTCAGCATTTGCCCCCGGGGGGGCGGGGCAAGTGCATTCGCACCTCGGCCATCCGGCCTCATCCGCATCAGAAGGCGGCAAGTCAGAGCAAGTCAGAGCACGTCAGCTGCGTTATTTATGGTTAATATAGGGGCCTTAATAATTAGAATAGGGTTTTGGGCTCCTTTATAGTATTAATATAATTTTGCCCTCAGAGCAGGAAAGCCAGGCCCAAGTCTCGAAGAATACTTTGTTTTTTGTTGTTTTGAGGAGACGTTGACCGTCACTATCCTGGATTTGGTGCAGCAGGCAGCGAACTACAAGCAGCTAAAGAAGGGTGCCAACGAGGCCAGATTCCTTGATCTAGGATGTCGGTGTCCGCCACTCAGCCAAGATCAAACGAGAGACGGCCCATGAAGTTCAAAACGAAGCCACAGCGCTGCTTGTGCACTCTTGTAGAAGCGCATGGTCAGCGACATGCAGTCTTCCTTGCGTCCTCGGTCGCTCACTCGCCCTCCAGGCCACGAAGACTCTGAACCGTGGCACCGCCGAACTTGTGATCCTTGCCGCAGATGCCGAGCCACTAGAGATCCTTCTGCACTTGCCACTTGACGGGAATGAGCTTGACTGGGAATCTTGGCTTTGGGTGGAGGATTGGATGCTGTGGGCCATGGGGTCCTTGGCTGCAGGCCCCTGGTCTGTGAAGACAAGAACGTACCCTATGTTTTCGTGAAGTCCAAGACGGCTTTGGGCCGAGCCTGCGGAGTCTCCAGGCGAGGGGCCTCGCTTTGCTTTTTTGCTGCCTACCTTCACCAAATCAAGTGGGCACACTCTGTAAAGGATGAAGGATAGAATAAATTCGCAGGGTAGGCTTGTCGGTCTTGCGATCCTGCGGACAGCCCTGCCGGCAGGCCTGTGATCTCCTGTTCGATCACGTCCAAGGAAGGTTCTCAGCTCAACACGCAGATACAGGCCTGGGGTGCAACTCGTCTCAGAGCAGCGCACACTGCCGCTGCGCTGCTTTTTTTTAAAGATGACAGGACCTGAAAGACCAGATCGAGATGATCCTCGTCTGAGAGTCTTCCGGCCGGCCCGCGCGGCCACAAAGAGAACATGGTACAGTGTTAGCAGTGGACTCCCGGCTCCCACAATGCTCAGTCGAGAGTTGCTACTCCGTCGCTAGCACACATTTGGGTGGAAGTGTGTTTTGTAGTGTTTGGACGCTGCTGTAACCTCTAAAAGTTTCTTACAGCGCCAGGTTCGAAGCCTGGGCTGTGATGTGGCAAGAGACATCTGAGACATTGCCCAGTAGGCAAGCATGTTTTGAGGAGGTTGAGCTTGTTGTAGCAACCCCGGCCACTGCCTTCGTCCCAGCCATGCCAAGAGCTTGTCTCGGATGTCCGTCGTCGTGCGACGGCTGGGATCAGCCACGCTTGCGCAGTTGCACCGATCACAGGGCACGCGGTGCAGGCATACGTGCCTGCCGTGTGTCTACACCATCCTCAAATTCAGTCCACTGGCTCTAAGATCACAGTTGCTCTGAGCTATGCCCAGCAGGTGCAAGCGCGGCTTGCACGGCCAATGGGAAAACCGGCGTGGTTTCAAGACATGAGAAGGGAAGTTCACGTTCGACATTGGTTCGGGACTGCCCAGTGAGCAGTGTTAGAGCCTAAATGCCGCGAATCGAAGGACTTGTGGTGGACTTTCCAGGTGTCTATAGGAGTCATAGAAGCGACAAGTACGGAGGAGCTCAAGTGACCAATCCGGCTGCGAGTAAAAGAGCTGGTTGCTGCACAAGTTGAGCAGGATCGGAATTTGGCGAGTTGTTCCCGGGACGTGCTTCGCCTTCACGTCCGGAGGAGATGCGCACCGCAAGTTCCATTTTACCGAGAGCAAGTGCAGCTTAGCTGCACCGCCGCCGCCTGCAACGAGCAGTTGCATGTCTTTTGCTGGTGGGGTATCCGCATCACTACTTGTGAGAGAATGCCTACCTGTCATCGGGCGCCTTTTCAAGCCGCAGTCGCTGAGGCATCGTCGAGCTACCTGATGCTGATGCTGATGAGCATGCGATGGCTTGCGTAGTTTAAAAAGAGTCATCGTTTTTCTGAGCCTTTTCAGTCCCATACCGAGACGGGAAGGCATGGTGATTCAAGCGTTTGCGCATGGTTGCGTGGATTGTGGTCGCATGGCTCTGAGTCTAGCTGCGCTAATTCGCTGAGTGCATGCGCGCTCCGCATTTTGCACAAGATGTCCTTCGGCAAGGCCGCCAACTTTTCTTTGGCAGGCTTCTTCATCCGACAGTGACTTTGATTTCGTGTACCGGGGATGACTCTTGTGTCCAGCGACAGCCACATGAGCCAAAGGCCTGATCAGGAAAGCTCCGGCACTTCAGTTCTTTTGGTGGGTTCAGGTTGTTGCAGGTGGCATTTGCAGCATTGTCCTCATGGTGCAGGGAAGCTCCCTCCCTGCCGGAATTGGCCCAAAGCCAGCACAAGTGCAGCCGGCCTCTCCCCTACCAGTATGCGAGGCAATGCTCCGGCAGAAGGATCACGCGATGCTGCCGAGGCGCGTGCCGTTTCCGCCCGCCCGCGCAGTTGGCACAAGACTATGCAACATCTTCGTCCGCCTGGCTCGATCTCAGAGGCGGGATCGCTCGGTTGAAGCATCTCATGGCAAGGCGGGATCAGCTGCGGTCTTCTGCACCTGCAACCTTCCTCCATCCTGCTGCTGCCCATGCCCCGAGGCTCCACCGGTGCCGAGAGCGCGGGAAGCCCAGCTGAGCTTTTGATGTGCACGCTAGAGCTCTTTGTGTAGCGCCTGAAACCGACCGCGTCTTGCAAGGCCTCGGCCGAACCCCAAGCCGAACTCGGCAGGCGAGGAGTAGCGAGGCGCCTTGGTTTCTGTCAAGACAACTCCGGAGGAGCGCTGGCTCGGGACACCTGGTCCAGGAAGTACGGGGTGGGTGACAGCCAGGAGCTGAGAACCGGGGGTAAGGCGCACGAACAGGTGTGCCCCTTACTCCCAGTAACAGGTACTCACGCACCTATACTTCGGGAAAGTAGCTCTTCGGAAGACGGGACTCAACTGCATAACCTGCACGCATCACCGTGTCAGCGACAGGCTGCCGTACGCACGCATCACCACAGCTTTCGTCGTCGATCACAATGTCGTCGACCATCACAGCGGTGGGCGCAGCAAGCTGCATTGTCGCCATGTCAAAGAGCAGCTGCAAAGCCACACAGACTCAACACAAGTCCAACAGCGGAGACACTGTCAGGTTATCGCCTTGGTTTGCATCTTCATCGCTTTTGAAGACTTAAGCAACAGTTACAGTGACAGCGGGCAGCCTTGCATCAGCTGACCGCTGCACAGCTGGGGAAGGCACCAGACTCCGACAAACTACTCCGAGCGCAATAAAACCCATCTGCCAAACCACTAAACCCTAAACCCCTAAACCCCCAAACCTCAACCCCCAAACCCCTAAACCCAAAACCACTAAACCACTAAACCCGGGTAAGCAGACTCGTGCCATTGGAGGGACGTGATATCCACGTAAACCTCGGTAAAGCACAGACACAGATGGTCGTCCGAGTCCAAGCCTCTTGGCACGTGAAAGTAATGAGGCTCCTGCTACTTTCATTGCACTGACTGTAAATATATATATATATATATATAGATATCCACAGCAGAAACTCTCCCCAGATTCTCCAAAGAGGATAGAACAGAAGAGAAGCCTGTGGAGCTCTGAGGCCATGTCGTTATCCCCTCGGAGTTGCGTCGGCCGCGCACAGCCTGGAACTGAGTGCGAAGTCAAAGAGTCTGGGCGGGCACAGCAAAGGGCTCAACGCGGCAGGAGAGCCCGTTTGCCAGGGTGAACGCTCTGACTCGGGAGCCCGGGACCGAGCCGCCGCTGCGGCAGCGCGAAGCGCGGCGTGGGGTGTAGCCGTGTAGCCTTTCAGCCTGAGGCGTGAGTGCGTGGAGAACCAGGCTGGCTCCGGTCCCGGTCTTCGATGTTTTGATGGATCCACGGCTTTGGGGCATGGTGGTGGATGTTTGTCATTTTGTTCTGCTTTCATGAGTCTTGCAGACTGCTAACTTATACTTTGCATCTGTGCATCTGCTCTCGTTTCTCGTCTGCAGGCACTCGAGATCGGGCCACCGCGGAGGACGAACTGCGAGACGCCGTGAGGGATGTGGTTCAGGGTGCTGCACACTCCGCTGCCACTAGAATCCCAACGACTCGCTTCATTTCGCTTCTGTTGTGCGGCGTTTTGGAGGACGGAGGGTCGGATCTGCGAGGACTGGCTTGGGAGGGATGACCGTTGACACCATGCTGGGCAGCTCAGCATGCCGCACGCCTTCTGTTTTGGCCGAGGGAGGCTGTTCGAATCTCCTGGATCCTCCCTCCAGCCCATGGGTGTCTTCGTTGCAGGAGAAACGAGACTTCAAACGAGGGCACATCCTAGGCCAGTTGCACATGGACTGCATGGAACGTAAACTTTTGAGTCGCCTTGCGCTTCTTCATCTGTCAGGCAAAGAGGTCAGCTCCTTCAAGGGCATCCACTGGAGCAAGAAACCCTGGCAGTTTGTTGCACTTCTCACTCCCTGCAGCCGCTGCTGATCATCAGCTCTGATCACACACTACTGTAGGGCTGCGGCTACCTTGAACCGTGCTTTCGCGAGACACTCGCAAAGTGGCAACCGTTGCCAGACGGGATCGGTGCCGCTTGCTTTGGGGGTCGTGGGCATGCTGTTCCAGCTCGCTTCCAGTTGCCTGACGGAGCTGGAACTTCATCAGAGACGCTCGGCCGGTTGACCGCGAAAGCTGTTCCCAAGCCTTGGGACAGCGAAGTCGCGGATTTCTCCGGGAGCAAAGTCTTTGGTGGATGACTGTTTACATCCCCCATGTGACGGTTCACAGGGTGCACATTTCAAATGGGCAAGTGATCGGGCTGTGACATTACGCTCGCCACGGCTTTGGACTCTGCGTGGGATGCGCGGCTGACTTCAACATCTGTGCCGACATCTTGTGCGCTAGCATAGCATAGTGTCTGACCATGTGTGAACCGAAGAGAGGCATGCACGCATGCGACTGCTTTGTGCTCTGGGAGAGCGTAAGGGCCCTGCGGAGTAGGTCTCAATCCATGTCGGGGAAATCAGCTGGATGCTGTTGCAGATGGCATCAGCTGCAGGCAAGTTCGCGTGTCGACACCAAGCACTGCAGCTTGTGGGCATGTTATGGTTGGGTGAGGAGCTTTGGACGCGTTAATTCATTCACAACTGCATGCTTCTGAGCATAGGAAAACACAAGAACGGGAGGAGTCAAACTGCACCCGAGCAAGACTCCTGCGAAAATCGAACAACAAAGTTTCGGCAACGCGACCAGCGACACAAGATTGGAGACATTGCATTGTCGGGAGGGGTGGAAGGAGGTTGAGGATAACATCAAAGGACACATATATTAAAGGCATTGCACTGAATAGAAGCAGCAAAAGCAAGTTGAAGGTCGACCATAGAAGCGGAGGGAGCAGAAGAGTCCGAACATGTTCACAGTCTGCGTCACCTCGGATTATGGACAACTGTTAAAAGGTGATGATCCTGGCCGCTCACATAACAGACCGTTTGCTGTTTCGCATCTTCACTTCCCTTTGCAGTGTGAATCCAAGAGTTTTTTTGTGGCTGCCTCCTGCTATGTCGGTTGGGTTTGCAGTTTATGTTGGCCTTCCACGCAATGCTAGGGGGGCCCGAGGCTGCATTTCAGTACTTGCGTCGGGAGAGGAGGTCTTTCCGAAGATCCATGACACGAGAAATTTCTCTGCTGGACAGACTCCTTGGGGAAATCCTTGAAGCTTTGCTCCGGGCAACTCCCTGCCTCCTTTCTCGCCAGGGTCAGCAACTTCGAAGCCAACGAGCGCGAGCCCACAGCAGCCCGCCGGGCTTTGCTCCTCCGAGAGATGAAGGACATCCCCCCAAAAGCCAACAAATTCAGAGCTTGCAGGAATCGCTTATTGTTGTCACACGTAGCAGGCAGCGGCTGGGAACCCTGAATCCTCAGAGGACGCTCCGCAGGTCCTGG